CTAAGGTTTTAACGCGGAGATTAAAAAAAGTGATGAACCGGGTTATTAGCATTAATCAGTCAGCTTTTGTTCCCGGACGACAGATTCATGATAATATTTTGGTGGTACATGAAATTTTGCATTCTTTGAAGCAAGGGGTGAATGGGGTGGATGCTCAGATGGCGATTAAATTAGATAAGGCGAAAGCATATGATTGGGTAGAATGGCCTTTTTTGATCGTTGTTATGCATAAGTTGGGTTTTCATCCTAAATTTTGTGAATGGATTCGTGAATGTATCTCTACAGTGTCCTATAGTGTCATGGTGAATGGTGTTCCCTCAGGGTATTTTCGACCAGAACGGGGGTTACGACAAAGGGACCCATTGTCACCTTTTTTATTCTTGCTATGTGCGGAAGCTTTGTCGGCGTATATCTGAAAGTCTGAAGAGGCGGGTTTGATTAGTGGGGTGCGGGTGGTAGAGAATGCGGTGCCTATTAGTCATTTGTTTTTTGCGGATGATTCAGTAGTATTCTGTAAATCTGATGTGACGGAGGCAGGGCACGTGGTTAAAATCTTGGAGGCGTATGGGAAAGAGTCTGGCCATAATATAAATTTGGAGAAAAACTCTATATTTTTTGGAAAGGGTTGCCCGAAGAAGGAGAAAAAACGTATTGTTACGAGGATGAATATCCAAGCTAAAGAGGGATTTGGTAAATATTTGGGGATTCAGGTGGATTTTGGGCATTCGAAGAAGACGGTTTTTGAGTCGGTTCATCAAGGTATCAAGAGCCGGACTGATGGATGGGCCGAGCAATTTTTATCTCCCGCAGGGAAGGAAGTGTTGATCAAATCAGTGGCCATGGCGATGCCGAATCATGATATGGCTTGCTTTAAATTACCGGTGAGTGCGTGTAAGGAACTAGAGCGAGTTATTGCTCAATTTTGGTGGCGAGGGCAGGAGAAAGCTAAGGGATGTCATTGGGTGGCGTGGGAGAAGTTGACTATGAGGAAGAAGGATGAAGGGTTGGGTTTTCAGGAACTAATTGGGTTTAATTTGGCCATGCTTGCCAAAGTCAGCTGGAGGGTACTACATACGCTGGATTCGATGCTTGGGGTGGTGCTTAGGGATAAATACTTTCCTAACTCTTCATTTCTCGAGGCTAACAACCGACCCAGATCCTCGTGGGGATGGAAAGGTTTACTATTGGGGCGGCAAGTCTTAACTCGTGGTCTTTGTTGGCAGGTGGGGGATGGGGAGACTATTAGAGTGGCGACTGATCCTTGGATACCTAAGCCTCATTCTTTCAAACCAATGATGAGGATTGGGGCTCCCAATGTAAAGGTATGCAAGTTATTTCTAAGGATAAGCAAGGGTGGAATCTTGAGACTCTTAGGATCATGGTGGAACAAGACGATTTAGAACTGATTCAAACTATTCCGATTAGTAGACGTGGTTGTCGTGATAAACAAATATGGCACTATACAAAGAATGGGATTTATTCGGTTCACTCGGGATATTATGTAGCAATGGAGATGATGAAAAATGGGGAATTTGGGCATAAAGGGGGGGGGATGCCGAGTTCGGCACGAGTGGGGGGAGGGGTGTGGAAAACAATTTGGCCTCTCCTAGTGCCAAATAAGATTCGGTTATTTGTTTGGAGGGCCTGTCGTAAGGCGTTGGCGGTGAGGCATAATTTGGAGCGCCAACGGATTCGAGTGGTGAATAAGTGTGAGCTCTGTGGCTTGCTAGATGAGACCGAAGGGCATCTATTTTTTGGGTGCGAGTTTAGTTGCGCTTTTTGGTTCGGGACAGAGGTGCAAATGGATATGGCAGGCTTGGGTGTGGTGGATTTTCTGGAGGGGTGGGAAAGGGTAGTGACGAGACTAGGACAGGAGGAGGAGGCGGAATTATTATTGCAGCAGGTGGTGTTCGGGTTTTGGCGAATCTGGAAATGTAGGAATGAAGCGGTATTTAATGGGAGTAGCATCCAGCCGCATATTGCAGTGGAGTTGTGGTACAAGCAGGTGGGTGAGTTTCGAGAGCCTACGGTAGTGGATGGGGGGGAACAATGGACTAAGCGGGAGTTAGGGGTGGGGGAAGTGGGTGCAGATCGGCTTCAGTGGAAAAAACCCAGTTTTGGTGTCTTGAAATTAAATTGTGATGCGACCTGGCGGAATGAGTCAAAGGTGGGTGGGGTGGGGTGGGTTCTTCGTGATTTTGCGGGGCTTCCCAAGCTCGTAGGCGGGGTGGGTGGGCAAAGGTTTGCAGCTGCAATAATGGCTGAGGCGGAGGCGGTCAGGCAGGGATTAGAGATGGTTCTTAGTAGTCGGGTTTTGGAATCTGGGGGTAGTTTGGTGGTTGAATCGGACTCAAAAGGTTTGATTCAAATGATTAATCAGGAGGTCACGACTGATGTGGTTCTTGATATCTATCTCCAAGACATTTGGATGATGGCGGATTTGTTCCAGTTGGTGAGGTTTTGCTTCACCCCTCGGCAGTGCAATCGTGCAGCTCATTCGGTGGCGGCGCACGCTGTTAAGCATGACGGGAGTTTTGATTGGGATTTGTTAGGTCCAGAGTTTCTGTTCAATATTTTAGCAGAGGATGCAAATGTAACCGCTCGTATTTAATCTTAATAAATTTCTATCTTTCGACAAAAAAAAAAAAAAAAAAAAATATGACATTGTCACGTTAGCCATTAAATTAACATTTAACACTTATCTTTTGACATCTCCTTTGAAGATGTTCGTATGTGCTTGTGCGGCTATCTTGTGTACATCAATACACCAAATTGCATACATCACTCAAATTTCACCATCATTCCAACTACATTTAGTAACAAAAAAATTCTATGCAAAGTAAACATAATCTCCATCTATGTTATCAATGGCATATTGCCATTCAGTTCCACATATATGAGAAATTTTTTAGTATGCCGAAAACATAGCGTGGTACGTGCCGTTCCAATCAAGATGGACTATATTTAATAAGTTACTATTAAAACAACGGACAACTCTTGATTTGGTTATTAAGAAAAGAAAAGGAAATTCGGGTATTATTTTATATTAATATGAATATTGCTTAATTATTTTGGCATTTATCCATTAGTTGGTTGTGATTTGACTGAACAGTTGTGATCGTGCATACGACGCTTCCCCAACGCTCACTTCCGCCGCCATTTATGTCCCCTGGCCTTTCCTCCTCCTCCGTCTTCATCACCGCCGGGAAAAACCCTCCTCCTATTCTCTCCCACATCAAACACCCAAACCAGAACAATCAACACCAAAAATGCCAGTGCTGGGTACACGTCAAACACTAGAAGAACTATTAAACCCACTCAAAACCAACAAACCCAGCAACAAAAACAACAAAACGATGACGATGACGATGACGATGACAAAGCAGAAGAACAAGAAAAAGGGGAAGATGAAAACAGCGCACAAGGCCGTGGCCGAGGGAACTGGACGATAGTGCTGTCGTCGAGCTTGGTGGGTCTGCTCACCGGAATCGGCGTCGTCCTCTTCAACTACTCTGTATGTTTGATTTTTACCCATTACTCAATTGTCCATTTTTGCTTTTCTTGCTTGCTTGTTTGCAAAGTTTTGAGCTTTTATCTGAAATTTTACAGAAATTGTAAATGTTCATGAGATGCATTAGCATTGTAGTCTGCTAGTGATCTTTACGTTTTGTCATTCGTTGTGAGGATGTTAAAGAATTGGCTCACATAGGAATGTGTGTTGTCCATCTGTTTGACTTGAGTGCTGCAACATGTGAGGGGCGCGTGAGGTTATGAAAAACTGTACCACATCGGAAAGTTAAGGAACCTTGCATAAACTTACAACTATAAGGGCGGAACCTCAGGTTCCGTCATTCATTACCTATTTTTGCTTTGCTTTTTTCTTGCTTGCTTATACATTAAGTTTTGAGCTTTTTCTGAGATTTTGATATGAATGGGAAGGTTCATGAGATACATGATGTGTTCTGGGGTGGGATGCCGCAACGGGGAGCTTCGTTGCCATAATAAACTTGCTTCAAGATGCTCTTGAGGATGGTTCAGAAGATAAAAATGGCAATGAGCAAGGAGGAGAAAAAGGAGAGAATTTATTAATGAAATGCCTTTTTGGGTTTTTGATGGTCTCAAGGCTGCATCACGTCCTTTTTCAAGGCAATTGCTGCATGTGTCACACTTGGGGCTGGGAACTCGTTAGGTCCCGAAGGTCCTAGCGTTGAGATTGGAGCTTCTGTAGCCAAGGGTATTGGTGCTGTGTTTGATAAAAGTTCACAAAGAAGGCTCACTCATGTGGCTGCTGGAATTGCTTCTGGTTGGTATTCAGTTTCGTGTATATCTGCGCTGCCATTATCAATGCATGTTTGCCCTCATTGTAATTGTTGTTGTTCTGTTTTGACAAGGTTTAATGCTGCTGTTTCCGGTTGTTTCTTTGCCGTAGAGTCTCCTATGGCCATCACCACCTGATTCCTCATCCATTTCACTTGTGAATACCACTTCTATGGTCATACTTAGTGCAGTGATAGCTTCTGTAGTTTCAGAAGTTGGTCTTGGTTCTGAGCCAGCCTTTAAGGTCTCATACTATGACTTCTGCTCACCTACTTGTACGCTATCATTTATCTGTCGATTCTTGAAAATGATACATATAAAAACCTGGATTAGTTGCAAATGCTAATTAACTATTTTTTATTAGGGCCAATTTATGTGCTCTTAACTATTTTTTGGTATGAATAGTTGCACCTTCTTACATGCAAATGCTAAGAACAGTTGTTCACGTGCACGTAAACTGTAAGTTATTAATACATAGATATTGAAGTTGAGCATGAATCCTGTGGTATGTGTGATGGAATGGATTTTTCATGGAAAAGAGTTTCCAAGGGAAGCCAAGATAACCATGGCAAATGTGTATCTTCACGTGTTCTTTACACATCTAAGCTATTACTAGCAAAAAGACCCACGTGATGCTGTGGGTGTTATATTGTGAAAATATACAATAGAAGACAGAGGTTATAGAAGTTAGATTTTATAGCTAAGTTCTTTGTTATCAAAAGATTGGTTGCTCACTGTTCAAAAGATAATTTCAATATGGACAAAGTCTAACGTCTGAAATCAATCAAATTAAAAAGGTCTCTCAAGCGTAGGCGCAGTACTGCTGTGTTTGTCTAGAACACCATATAAACAAAGTTTATATTCTTATAATCATATTACATCTATAGATATTTAAGCATGCCGAGATTAATAAAGATCCTCAGTTCATTACTCCGAGCATACGAAATCAGGTCTGTAACAAACCTGAAACGGAAGGAGAACTTGTCATAAATTATTTCATTGAAACTTGTGACAGCAATGCATAAAGAGCGCTTTAATCAACAAAGTATCTGCAGAGGCTCAACATAAAACACGATGGGGATTGAAGTAGAACAACTTTTTGTAATATTCAAGGTTTAATCCGATGCCATACATACCATACACCCACACTAATACAAAGAGAGTGCTTTATATATATCCTCTCAAAATTACCTCAATATACCACTAATTTAAAACAGAGTGAATTGCACTATATGCAATTGAAAAATAAAGAAAAATTAGCAAGTCAAACAAAGAAAAGATGGATTCAAGCTGTCCACTATAACACATAATACGAATTACCGATGTATATGAGCATATCAGTTTAAGACAGTCACTATCACATACATTTAAATTGACATTTCACAGACATGATCTTTATAAAACGAATATGTGTTCAAGTAGCAAAGGAGAGCAATCCATAGTTTAATGACGAATATGTGTTCAAGCAGCAAAGGAGCAATCCATAGTTTAATGTTTTATAAGAAACCCATGAATATGTATGAGCATAGTTGGTTTCGTATGCCATGCAGCAGTCAAGGTGTTTGTTACCAATTTTGCGGTTCCATTGGGAAGTATTTGTATATTGAAATATAAAAAGCTAGGTATACAGACTCTATACCTCTCCCAAAGCATGCTTGGAATGCAACTGATGAAGAAAAGTGCCACTCTCTACCTATCGTCCTGCAATAATCAACAAATTGAAACTCAAAACCAAAGCCTGTCGTATCAGTGGTTCAATTAACAAATGGTTGTGTGTTAGTTGGAACAGTACATTTCTCATTGATGACCCCCAACGACTCCTCCACGTTTGCCTCTGCATACTCTTCCTCCGCTGCTGCTGCTCTTTTCCTTCCATGAAAACAACTACTCCTCTCCTCCTTTGGTTCAAGCCTCGAGTGGCCTATTACCACCTAATTTGACAGAACCTGGCCGGAATTGAGCTCGCCGCCTCTGTAAATTCGTCGGAAAACGCACCATTTAGGATTTGAACTGAAAATCGTAAATTTGAGGCAGATCTTCAGATGCAATAGGTGTAGAATGTGCCTGAGCTTATGAGGAGTTGGCTAAGACCAACCTCGAGACTGGCCGTCGCCGAAATCGTAGAAGTCGTCAACGGCCTATTGAACCATCAGAGAGAAGGCAGTGGCGAGTGAGTTCTAGATAGAGAAAGTGGCTCGGAGGAGGAGAGGTGAGAAGGAGTTTTAGAGGGTGGGTATTTTAGAGAGAGAGAATGAGAGAAGCCAGAGACTCTCTGGCGGAGAGCATCGAGCTAGAGGAAAGAGAGAACGGATAAAGAAGAGAAAGAAATTAAAAATATATACAGCAGGGACACAATAGGAATTAGCGTTAAAGTGCGAGGGCAAATAAGGGAGAACACTATAAAACGACCGGTGTTTTAGTTATTTTCCCTTTTAGTATATATATAATTAATAAAAAGTTTATTTGGCAAATCATTATGCACATTAAGTGTTAAACGTATATATAAATAATCATGACCATATCAAAAGACAAATAAATAAATAATGACATATCTGTCTTAAGTCTTCTCTACTATTTCAAACTTTAAAGGACTACACTTTGTAGAGCTTGATTCTTTTCTATTTTTGGACCCTACCAGATGACCTTTGTGAGGTTTAACATTAGGTTTAAGAATTGAGGGAGTAGAAGTATCAAGAAATTCATAAATTTGCCTTTTGGTATTCTCTTTTTGAGTAAGAGGCAACTTTTCAGGCTTATCTTTAAACTCCAATAGAAGGATGTCCACACATGTCCACACATGTCATTCGAAAGTTCATGGTTATGTAACAAACTTTTTATCTCTAGCTTCCAAAATTATTCACGTTTCTTTTTACTCCTCCTGACTTCGAATGGACAATTTATGAGCCAAGATCTTGAGTTTCTCTTTCTTTCATCAAGTGAAGTTTTAGAGGCTCAATAATACCCACCTCTATCGCAACCAATAACAACATATGTATTTGTCTTAGATCTTTTACTAACGGTCGCAAACTTTTGCATTAATGCTATCTTACAAACTTCACCAATGAGGTCTTCTCGACTTCAAAACATTTCGCCAACAAAGAGATAATTTTATCGGGCTCATCAATTGTTCATTAACTTCCTGTATATCACACTCCTACACACACACACACACACACACACACATATATATATATAGAATATACATATACATTTTATCAAAGGCTATACATATTTTAGTTTGCTTTCATCTTCAATTAAAGAGTCGTGTACATTTTGATACGTTACTGAGTGCTACGGTGACTCACCAGGTGTAGGTTAGCTATCTTTGTCAAGATTAAATTTCATTGGATGGCCTGTTGATCAAAGCTGAAACTAGTATGATAGAAAAAAAAACTTTGTACATAAAGTGTGTAAGGGATGACTTGTGAGTTGTGACTTGTCAGCTGTAATGAAAGTTATGAACTGATGTTGGTGTGCCCTTATTTTGTCTTTCTTCATATGTTGGAATGCTTTGAATTTTTATACGGGGAAAGTAAGGTTCTTGAGTTGGGAAATTTCATTTATCCGTTTTTTGTATTCGACATCTCCGTCGGATTGTCCAGAGCATATAGAACTTTTGTAACCTTCGTGTAAGTCAGGTCAACTAGTACAATTGTTGAACTCAAACTGATCTTGTCTCAGCGGGCAACTACTCTCTCCCCCTTGCTTGCTTTCCATTCCCAATTTCTACCTCTATCTGTCTATTGCTTAGTTTGGTGCCTAGATGGATAGAGAGTGATGGTGGATCATGACTTGCTTACTTGGGACAAGACACATAATTTCAGGCGGAGTTATGGACTATCTTATGACCTCTCGATAGCTTCAGAAATAGTAGTGGCAAACTAGCCCATTGATTATTAATGAATAACTATTAAGACCTGTTTTGACACGCCCTGATCCCGATGTTCGTGGGACATCGGGATAGTCACGTGCTGACCGACACCCGAGGGTGATGCAAGCCATTTATGAATGCAAATGCTGAGAACATGTGAAACATGCATATAAATTTTGTTCAAACTACTTAAAATAATATAATAATATTCAATTGCCTACAATGAAAGTATAGTGATAATGCATGACATGTTCAAAGCAGACATCTAATTCAGAATACAAGCGAAATGTGCTATTACAAGAATGTCCAAGCGGAGAGAGGGACACAAAGTCACTGGTATGGGAATGCCTCGTAGCGCGGATCGTAAGCCTCGTTCCTATGTCTTGAAGGAGAGGGAGGGGAGGTCCACGAAGGTGGTGGTGATGGTGTGTCATCGTCGGGGGTGTCCCTATGGGTGTGCGTGGGTGTGGGTTCAATCGGGAAGAAAGAGGGAAAGAGTGTGAAAGTGAGAGAAGAGTGAGCTGAGAAAGAGAGTGAACTCGAGGAAAATGAGATAGAGTGATAAGGAGGAGTTAGTGGGCTGCCTCATGGCAAGCAATGAGAGGAGAGGAAATCTAAAAAGAGGATCCTGATTGGGTAGGAAGTGAGGGACTGAAATGTAAAAATTTGAAAACCTTTAAGTAAAATGTGGAATTTCATAATTTTTGGGGTGGGGTTTCACGTGTTTAGTTTGATTCTTATCATAACATGGTGATGAGGTTGATAGTTTTAATGAGTTTGTAATACATTATGCTGATATCAAACTAAATGTCTCTGAGACTTAATGATTTTTCATTCATAAAATCATTCATAGTCAAATGACTTGATCTGTCACCTGTGCTTGGAAGGTCAGATACCAAATCTTATTCAATCAACAACTATATATATATATATATTTTTTTTTTTTTAAATGAACAAATGGTGGCAAGTCACGACTATTTACCATTTTCGAGCCCAGAGAGGCTATGGAGAGTTTCACTCTGCCTTCCAAGATTTTGTAGTGTGATGTGAAGTGCACTTTTTGTGTGAAAATTATTAAAGGGATGTGATATCCATACATCCGATTTTACTTCTCACACACCTTTTTAATTTTCGACCATCGGATCAGATGAAATGAAGAAGATCAACATACAGAAATTAACATGAGGTGTGTAAGAAGTAAAATGAGGTGTGTGGATATCACACCTTATTAAAATATCCTCAAACAAAAGTGCTTGGAAAATTCTTAGAAGAAATTGGTGACTAACTAATTGGAAAAAGAGTAATGCTAGAGATATTAAATTTATAAACTAAATGACATAGAAATTTATAATTAAATTATTACTTAAATATTAATATACATGCTCATTTTTTAATAATAACATATTATTTAATTTACAAATTTATCCTAGCATTCCCGATTCAAAACCGTGGACGCAAAACGCGCAAGGGAGGGCCACATCCCATGTGCTCCCCTTTATACTTTTGTAACTGGTCGTCTCTTACTCGTTGCTTTTCCTCAAAAGCCAATTCTAAGTAAATTCTGAACTAGTCTCTCTCTCTCTCTCTCTCTCTCTCTCTCTCTCTCTCTCTTTTGTTTCATTAGATCCTCCTTAATTCTGAACCACTCTCTCTCTCGTTTGCTTTGCTGAATCCTCCTTAATTCTGAACCAGTCTCTCCCTCTTTCTCTCTATTCACAATTAATCTCTCTGCAACTACTACTTCCTGGATCTGAAAACTAGAGGTTGGTTATGGATATTGGCCTCTTCTTCTTCGTATTCTTCTTCATCCGCTGCTGCTCTTGCTGATGCTGATGATGCAATAAAGTAATTGTTTTGGATATTATTTTGAAGCCGGAGAAAGCAAATAAGCCCTCGTCAAATTGGTAACTTGTCAGAGGTTAGTCAGCGTTTATTGATACTGTTTAAGGCTCTTTCTGTATTTTTTGTCATTTCTTTTTAATTAATAAGTTTAGGTGTTATGTTATGCTGGCATTTAAATTGCTAATTAATTTTTGTTATGTCTGCTGTTAATTTCTTGGCTGGTGACCTGTCACCGGTGTCACTTTGTTTTGTTTGCATCTTTATCAATTGTCTTCCTTTTGACGTTTGGATTCAACGGTTCTCTTAACACAGGTTCTGAAAAAGCTTCAGTACAAAAGATTGAAAGAGAGAGCAAATGGAAAAAGAAAACAAGGCAGAGAACAGGAGAAAGAGGTCTCAAGTTGATTTTGCATCCTTTTTCACATAGGGCCCTTCCTTTTTGTGTGGTGTTTTTTGGTATATGCATAATCTGATTTTTGTTTTTTGACTGTATGAAACATAACCAAAACTTGATTTGCAGGAATCGATCAGGTGACGATGATGATACTGATTGTGAGGGGAGCAAAGCAAGGAGAAAAGGTTTACACTTATTCATTTTATGGTTTTCAAATACTAGTTGCTTTACATGCTGAGATGACGTTGTTCATATTAAGATTGCAAATATATGAATATCTTTCTTTAAATTATAGTGTTATTAAAGATAATAGGTCCTATCATGTGCCCCATTTGCCACTTACGTATCTCTCACTCGTTGATTTCGAGCCTTTGAAATTTTGTGCATGTAGTCAAAAGCCAGTTCAAGTAAATTCTGAACTAGTCTCTCTCTCCCCCCTCTTGCATCCTCTTAATTCGGTGCAACGTCGTAGTATTATTTCTCTCTAATTAACAATTAATCTCTCTGCAACTACATCTTTTTGCCGTTTCTGAAAACTAGAGGTTATGGACATTGCTTCTTCTTCATCATCCGCTGCTGATAACCCCCCACGTCGAGAAAAGTATGATGTGTTTATCAGTTTCAGAGGTGAGGACACCCGCCTTGGTATTACCAGCCATCTTCATGCTGCCTTACTTCAGAAGAAATTTGAAACCTACATCGATAATAGACTTCAGAGATGAGAAGAAATCGGATATGCCCTTCTAGAAGCAATTGAGAAATCCACCATTTCGGTGATCATTTTCTCACAAAACTATGCTTCTTCCACATGGTGTTTGGATGAGCTTGTGCATATACTAAAATGCAACAACAAAGAAGGCCGGATGGTTATACCCGTATTCTACGACATCGATCCATCTGATGTACGAAAACAGCACGGGAGTTATGCAGATGCATTTGATGAACTTGAAAAACGATTCGCTAACAGTATCGACAAGGTGCACAAGTGGAGGGATGCTTTGACGACTGCAGCCAATCTATCTGGGTTTGATCATTCAAACAAATCCGGGTAACTAACTCATTCTTTAACTTGTCTAAAGTTATAAATTTTCTTTAAACTTGTGACATTTTGATATGTGCTAAGATTTGGTAAAGCGTATTTAAGACTAACTACTGCTTTTCAACCTAATCATATACATCTATACACCAGGACGGAGGCAGATCTAATTCAGAAAGTTGTCGATCATATTTGGACCCAATTGTGTGGCGAATCATCCTGCGATTTAAAGGGCTTTGTTGGAATTGAAAGACGCATCGAGCAGATCGAATTGCTGTTAGGCATTCATTCACCGGACGCTTGCATCACTGTAGGTATTTGGGGCATGGGTGGTATTGGGAAAACCACCCTTGCCGAGGCTGTATTTCGCATACACTCTTCTAAATTCGAAGCTTCTTGTTTTCTTAAGAATGTTAGGGAGAACTCAGAACAAGCAGGTGGACTAGATCACTTGGAAAAAACACTTCTTAAGGAGCTATTAAAGGAAGAAGTTCTGCCCGTAGGATCAACTTTGGTTCGAGAAAGGCTCGGTCGTACAAAGGTCCTCATTGTTCTAGATGACGTGAGTGATTCATTGCAAATTGAACGTTTAGCTGGCGATCGTATTCGGTATGGCACTGGAAGTAGAATCATTATCACAAGTAGAGATAGGGGCACACTTGGGCAAACTGTTGAAAAGGATAATATCTATGAGGTTGAGCTATTAAAACCGGATGACGCTCTTCAGCTCTTCTGTTCGCATGCTTTCAAGAATAACAGTACTCGTAGAACAGATTATAAAGAGTTGGCAGAAAAGGCCGTGCATTATGCCAGAGGCGTTCCTTTGGCTCTTAAAGTTCTGGGGTCCTTGTTCTTCAATTGCAAGAGCAAAGAAGACTGGGAAGATGAATTCACAAACTGAAACGATTTCCTAGTGAAAGTATCCAGAAAGTGTTGAGAATAAGTTATGATAGATTGGAAAAAAATGAGAAGGAGATATTTCTAGATGTAGCATGTTTTCATAAAGGGAAGGATGTGGATATGGTAAAACGAATGTTAGATGTTCGTGGATTCTTTGGGACAACCGGAATTAGAATTCTCATTGATATGTCTCTCATATCAATTGTTTCAAAATGGGGAAGGGAAGGCATAATAGAGATGCACGATTTGCTACAAGAAATGGGAAGGACAATTGTTCAAGAACAATGTATTAAAGATCCTGGTGAACGGAATAGGTTGTTCGCTGACGAGGATGTCTATCGCATACTAAAGAGTAACACGGTAGGAGTCAAATTCATTCAATTTTTTTCTTTTCTTTTTTAGAAAAAAAAAATTACAAACTTCAGATGATAACAGAACAAAGTAAAACTAATTTATAATAAAGAAGTGAGATTGTTAAAAGATGGAATTTGATTGAATACTTATTGTGTTAGGAAGTGTTTGGAACTTGAACAAATGTTTGTCTATTTAGACAAGTAGAGGGGGATACAATTATTTTGGATATTTGACTAGACTAAGACACATGTACATCATTACCATGGCAAATACTCTTTGTTCCAAATGTGTGTTACATTTTAACATGTTGAAAACATATGTATTCACATTTAAACTTTCTTCTAATTGTTAGGAAACTCCAAATGTTGAAGCCATAAAGGTTTGTTGGTTTGAACCATTGAAACGTGCAGACTTCAAAAAGATGTCTAACCTAAAAATGCTAAGCTCGGTTGGCCGATTGACCGCTTCTCTAGACCTTCCCGATTCTCTTTGTTATCTTGAGTGGCCTTTTTATCCACTGGAATCTTTGCCGTCAACTTTTTCTCCGGAAAATCTAGTTGAGCTTCGTATGCGAGGTAGCAAAGTTAAAAGGCTTTGGAAAGAAGACGAGGTATATTATATTATATGCCTATTTTAATTCTTGTATCAAATCAAGTGTAGAAATTATATTAATTCTTTATATTTCTATTTCATTTGTTGCAGATACTTGCCAACTTACAAGTTATTGATTTGCATGAGTGTGAGTATTTAACTGAAGTTCCAAATCTCTCTAGGAGTCCAAAGATTGTGCACATAAATCTTCGTTGCTGTTACAGTTTGGTTGAAATTCCTTCGTATTTTCAACATCTTGACAAGCTTACTCGTCTTGAACTCGGATTCTGCACCAGTCTCAAGTATCTTCCAAAGATGCCAGGAAATCTTACATACTTATGTTTACAAGCCAGTGGTATAAAGGAGTTGCCAGAATCAGTTTGGTCTAACGAAAATATTTCTTACTTGAATATAAGGCATTGCAGTTACCTTAAGAAACTTCCAAGTAGCACGTGTAAGTTGAAAAATCTCGATCTCCATAGGTGCTCTAAATTTGAAAACTTTCCAGAGATTTTGGAGCCAATAGAACATTTGAAGTCCTTAAGTTTAATTCATACAGCAGTTACAGAGCTACCCTCATCAATCTGTAAGTTGAAATATCTTGAGAGTCTTGATCTCACCGAGTGCTCTAGATTTTCCAAATTCCTTGAAATCTTGGAGCCAATGGAACATTTGAAGTCCTTAAGTTTAATTCGAACTGCAGTTACAGAGCTACCCTCATCAATCTGTAACTTGAAATATCTTGATAGTCTTGATCTCACCGAGTGCTCTAGATTTTCCAAATTCCCTGAAATCTTGAAGCCAATGGAACATTTGAAGTCCTTAAGTTTAATTCAAACAGCAGTTACAAAGCTACCCTCATCAATCTGTAACTTGAAATATCTTGAGAGTCTTGATCTCACCAAGTGCTCTAGATTTTCCAAATTCCCTGAAATCTTGGAGCCAATGGAACATTTGAAGTCCTTAAGATTAATTCAAACAGTAGTTACAGAGCTACCCTCATCAATCTGTAACTTGAAATATCTTGAGAGTCTTGATCTCAAAGGTTGCTCTAGATTTTCCAAATTCCCTGAAATCTTGGAGCCAATGGAACATTTGGTGTCTCTTTGTTTGGAAGGCACAGTTGTCGAAATGCTTCCTTCGTCAATTGGAAATCTAAATAGGCTTCAAGATTTAAACCTTGGTTGGTGCAAGCAACTTAAGGATGTCCCAACAAGTATCTACAGTTTAACCAATCTTAAACGTCTCTCCTTTCATGGGTGTTGGAGACTTGAAAATTTGCCTTCCAGCTCCGTTGGTTTTCTCTCTTTAGAAGAACTAGATCTCAGCTTCAGCGGTATATTGGAAATACCAGCAAGCATCAAACAAGCTTCTCGGTTGTCTATACTCAAATTATGCTGGTGCAAGCAGCTTCAATCTATACCAAAGCTCCCAGTGCTATGTAATGTTAATGCTGAAGGCTGCACGTCGCTGAAGACAGTGTCAAGTTCAAGGACAACACTCACACAAGGTTGGGATAAACCTAATTATTGTTTCAGAGTCTTTACTAATTGCCCAAAATTGGATAATAATTCAAGGAGCAACATAATGGATGAAGCACAGATTGCAATTATGCGAATGGCAACTGTTGCGCCATTAAAGTACAATTCCTGGCTTCATAATCCCTGGCCTCAGATTAACATTGCATGTCCAGGAAAAGAAATTCCAAATTGGTTCGCTCTCTCTGTTGTTCTTTCTTGTGTTTCAAATGTGAGGTATAAACCCTGGAGGGTAAAAGCTAATTTCATTGTCAAATTCATGGGTGAAAGCCATGAACTGTTCAGTTCTAAGTACATTATCCAAGGCTCCTATGACGGCCAACATCACGTGCATGTGTGGAATGAGGCCTTTAGAAGTGAAGAGGTAGGAAAAAATTGCTCCCCTGATGTTTACAAACTTGCCAAAGAGGCCTCTGTTGTCTTCTGCCCGTATTTTGAAGATTTTAAAAATCCTGAAGATTCGGAAGATTTTGAAGATTCTGAAGGACAACCTGCTTCTGCTTCCGATATGAAGGTGGAAAGATGTGGTATATGCCCATTGTATGCCGAAGATGCTGAGAAATTCAAATTTGGTCAAGTGTTCATGTCGAGGGGACCAAAAGTAGAAGAAGAAACAAGACAAGATGATGATTCCAAAGGTGGTGGATCAGGAGATGAGCCTCAAGTTAGTGGATCAAGTCATGAGTATGAAGCAAATGAAAGTCGTACCCAGTGCACAAGGCTCCCACTTGTGCACTGGGTACGACTTTCATTTGCTTCATACTCATGACTTGATCCACTAACTTGAGGCTCATCTCCTGATCCACCACCTTTGGAATCATCATCTTGTCTTGTTTCTTCTTCTACTTTTGGTCCCCTCGACATGAACACATGACCAAATTTGAATTTCTCAGCATCTTCGGCATACAATGGGCATATACCATGAGTATGAAGCAAATGAAAGTAATTAGGAAAAACTTTTTAAGGCAAATTTGTAATTTGATAGCCCACTTGTCTGACCAAGAAATAAGACAACAAATAGGCAAGGCTTTTATTATTTTGGTATTGTTTATGCTTTATACATTATAAAGCGCTAGTTATGGACAAGTGTATAATAGCCTATTTGTTTTCTTTAAAACTTGGTTTACCTTTATATCATAAACATAGCCATTAATTAACACACCATGCCAGGGCAAAGTAAAAAACTCACGACCAAACGCGATTGTTTGAACATTTGACACGACAAAAATATGCGATTGTTCGGTGGCTGAATTGCAATGAGCAAAAAATATGAATGGCCCGATTAGACTAACACTGGCAAAACTTAGTGTTCTTGTTTGCACCAAACAAAGATCAGCGAAACAAATTTTATTAGAGAGGGTAAAAATTAAAGCAAATTAAGGCTGAAAAAAGAAAGGCACATCTCCAGTTTAATAATACAATCATCGAATTTGTAACAACGATAAAACTATAGTGCTCTTTGCTTCAATAGGACTAGGAAGTTCCAAAATTAAGGAGAAAAATTATACGTCGCGCTACAAGCTAAAGGAAAAAAGAATGAAGAAAAAGCGAGATGCATACACAAAGAAATGAAATAAAAAAGAAATACATTACAAGTTTGATGGCCGAACTGCATTTTGACCCGGAAATATTCAATTTCTCACTAGCATCCAAGATTTCTTTCTTCAAGTCTCCGGGATATTTGTTATGATTCAACACTTATCAGGAAGTAACATGCACACAAAACTTCGCTGCTCAAGATGAGAAAATTGGGGAAACATTAAAGTTCTAAGTACCTTTTTATCAGCTTCGGTTGCTTCTTTGAACTTTGAGTTCAGTGAGTTAACCTCCTCTGTACTCAGTTGATCTACAAGATGTTTCTCCAATTCTGGTACTCTGGGTTTCCGCTAATTGGCCTGCTGCTTTTCCTCAGCATGAGAAGGAGCAACTGTCTTCGGTGGCCTTCCTCCAGCTGGGGGTGCCATGTGCCGAGCACCAAGACCAGGCATCAGTTGCTGTTGTTGAAAGCCTTTTAAAGTGAAAAATAAGAAACTATTCTCCATCAAAGAAAGACATGTTTCAAAATATAAAAGTGATTTGTTTTATGGATGAATACCAGAAGCAGGTCTCCAGGCTACATTGCCTGCATTGGAGTAATTATTTGCAGGTTGAAAAATATTGGATAAATCAAACATAACATTGCTTGGTAGCACGGCTGGAAGAGGGCTTCCCTCCCTAAACCGCTCCATCAAAGATAATGTGGCATGATGGGTAGTCATTCTATCAATCTAGACTGCACATTTAGACATGACTCAATTTAGTAGTATATATTTATGGATGTTTGTATGTCAATTGGCCAGCAAAAGATTACTCCCAATCACAAATAAAAATTTATACCTACAAAATATCTATGGCATGTGTAAGTTTTTACATCAAAATACGAACACATCATGCAAAGAATGAACATCCAGCAGCAAAGCATCTCGCAGAAAAATATGCTTGATTGAGCCTGTTATGTTCAGCAATTCAAGCTAATGAGAAAGTGCATTCATATAATCAATATTTAACATAATATGCCCCTGGTTATCATTTTATACGGAAATTCCTTCAGCAAAACAAGCATACAGCTTCAATAACCTATTTGTCGATATGATCATGACCCAAGAACATTTTCACTACTGCACAATTCTAATGTAATAAACAATCCTCGATCAATCCTTGGGTCATATAACACATTTCTAAAGTCTGCTTACCACCTCAGGTTGAACGGATACACCAGAAGGTATATTAATGACCTGATAACATAACTCTCTCAACCTCACTAACAGTAGTATAAATTCTTCATCTACTTATTTTCTACCATTTGAACATCAATTCCGCAGTTATACTAACACGAAATAAATATCTCAGCTAAGATAAGAGAATTAAGACATCCCGAGCTCACATTTACCACTTCAACTACAATTAGACTACAAATTCAAAATCAATCCGATTCGGAACACAGTTCCACCAGCATCAAATCCCGACCAACCACTACAATTACACAAATATAATCATACACACACATCCAATTATACATATATACACAAGCATACATACATACATACATATATATATATATATTGAGAGAGTACCTGCTCAAGGACCTGTTTGGGAGACCAGAGCCCTGGAAGAGAGCGACGGTTTCATTGCCACTAATCCGGCCATCGCGGTCCAAATCGGCCCGTAGGAAATACGCATTGAAGAGATCCACATTCGCCGATTGGTTCTGCATCGACGCCATCGCCACCGTCGGATTGCGATTCGCGGAAGATCAGACCATGGAATCAATCGAGAGCGCCGCACCATCAGGCTGCAGTACGCGTAAGGAGCGCCGGGAAGAATCAGAAAACCACGAATTCGAAGGACCATGATTTGGTTGCCTTTCTTCTCCGATTCGGAGGAAAATCAGAAGACGATGGAGACAGTGAGCGATGCCAATAGTTTGGGGTAGAAAAACGATGATTTTTCCTTTTGATTTTTTGTGACAAAAATGGTATTGTATTTGTGTGATATTTCAAAATTGCCATTGGTCCTAATGAGCCCGGCCCATAAGGTACTACCACAACAAATACAATTGAGAAAGGGGTGTGATATCCACATACCTATTTTTACTTCTCACGCACCCCTTATTAATTTTCGGTCGTCAGATCGGATAGGTCAACGGACATAAATTACAAGGGGAGTGTGAGAAGTAAAAAATGATGTGTGGATAGCACATCCCTTTAGAAATCAGAGTTGGTTAGCAAGTTTATGTTTTCGATTTGTCAACTTGTACAAAGTGGGGAAACAAAAACGTGCACATATAGAAAGGTGCAAATTAATGCGAGATTGAGAAGGAAGCTACAATTTAGAAATCAGAGTCATTTGTTTGTCGGATATTTGACATGTTATATTATCAGACTGTAAATCGTATATATATATTTAGGCATCGTTTTGTAAATCCATCTAAAAATGAAACCTAATTGATAATTTATACACACCCATATAGATTAACTACTCTTATCATGGCCAACAAGCAACTCATGTCCACGATGGTGTTGTGTTCACGTTTCATCGGTTTCATATCCTCTTTTTCTTTAAGGAGACGATCAATGAATAGCGTTCTAAAATATGATTATAAACCTTTTAAATAACTTCATTAGTCGGTACAATGAATGCATTTTGATTGATCCCTTTTGTCATCACCTCATTTTCGCTATTTAATTAGTCCCTGAAACTTCTTGCATTACATGATGTGCATGGAAAGTTCTATTAGATAAAACATTGGGGATCTTTGAAGTAGTACTATGTTTCAAATCAAAATCAAAGAACCGGCTTAATAATTGATGTAATTAGTAAATATTGACACATAATGTAATGCATTCTTAATTGGAGCTACAACCTTGTCTAGTTTCCATTTTTTGTAAGTGTATATGTTAGTTTGGCGTATGTCATCGGCCACTTTAGATTGAAGTGGGCAACTCCGTTATGGGAGCTTCTTTTGTTGTAGCAAAAATGTCTCAATCACTAAGACGAATTTCTCAAATTTTATCAAGTACATGTCAATTTATGTACTCCTAACTATTTTTTTAGTATGAATAGTTGCACCTTCTTATTTGCAAATGTTAAGAACAGTTGCTCACATGTGCGTAAACGGTAGGCTATGAATACAAACATTATTTTATATTAATATGAATATTACTTAATTATTTTGTCAGGCTTTTATCCATTAGCTGGTCGTGATTGGACTGAACAGTTGGCTCAACTGGTGTAGCAGCTAATGGGAGGCCTGGACTGCATACGGCGCTTCCCCAACGCCCACTTCCACCGCCATTTATGTCCCCTGGCCTCTCCATCCTCCGTCTTCATCACCGTCGGGAAAAGCCCTCCTCCTATTCTCTGCCACATCAAACACCCAAACAAGAACAATCAACACCAAAAATGCCAGTGCTGGGTACAAGAATAAGGGGAAGATGAAGATGGCAGAGATCTGCCTCTCAGACCTCCTTTCTCCCTCCCTCAAAACCAACAAACCCAGCAACAAAAACAACAAAACGATGACGATGACGATGAAAAAGCAGAAGAACAAGAAGAAGGGGAAGATGAAAACAGAGTACAAGGCCGTGGCCAAGGGAACTGCACGATTTTTATCCATTACTCAATTGATCATTTTTCCTTTTCTTGCTTGCTTGTTTGCAAAGTTTTGAGCTTTTATCTAAAATTTTACACAAATTGTAAATGTTCATGAGATGCATTAGGATGTGTGTTGTCCATCTGTTTGGCTTGAGTCCTGCAACATGTGAGGGGCACGTGAGGTTATGAAAAACTCTTCCACATCAGAAAGTTAAGGAACCTTACATTAACTTGTAAGGGGTCGGGCTACTCCCCCATTTCCAATTTGGGTCGGAACCTCAGGTTCCGTCACTCATTACCCATTTTTTCTTTGCTTTTTTCTTGCTTGCTTATACATGAAGTTTTGAGCTTTTTCTGAGATTTTGACATGAATGGGAAGGTTCATGAGATACGTGATGTGTTATGGGGTGGGATGCCGCAACGGGGAGCTTCGTGGCTGAGAAAGGAGTACATGGGAGATACGTAGAAGCAGGTGATTCTGGTTCCAGCTTATGGGGGTTTGTGCAGAAGTCTAATATCTTGCAGTAATCAAGAGATTTAGAGAGAGAGAGAGAATTTGTAGAGAGAGATTGAGTATGTGAAGAATGGTTCTCGTTAACTTTCACACTGCACTATACAATGTGATATGGTAATCCTCTATTACCCTTAACAGTTTGATTGTTGCCATAATAAACTTGTTTCGAGATGCTCTTGAGGATGGTTCACAAGATAAAAATGGCAATGAGCAAGGAGGAGAAAAAGGAGAGAATTTATTAGTGAAAATGGGAATGTCTATTTCGGTTTTTGATGGTCTCAAGGCAGCATCGTGTCCTTTTGTCAAGGCAATTGCTGCTTGTGTCACACTTGGGACTGGGAACTCGTTAGGTCCCAAGGTCCTAGCGTTGAGATTGGAACTTCTATAGCCAAGGGTATTGGTGATGTGTTTGATAAAAGTTCACAAAGAAGGCTCTCTCATGTGGCTGCTGGAATTGCTTCTGGTTGGTATTCAGTTTTGTGTATATCTATGTTGTCATTATCAATACATGTATGCCCTAATTGTAATTGTTGTTCTGTTTTGACAGGGTTTAATGCAGCTGTTTCCGGTTGTTTCTTTCCCGTAGAGTCCATCACCACCTAATTCCTCATCCCTTTTGTTTGGATCAAAACTTAAACTTTGGGCTTGGGGAAAGTTGGCCCAAGAAGCAGCCTAAAAAGGGGAAGGTACTCAGAGGCCCAGTCAGAACCCAGCCGAAGTCCAGAAGATGGGAGAAGCCCGTTTCTGACTAGATGCAGACCACTTGCTTACCTACCTAGAAGCCAAGTGGTATAGACCAGCCAGCTATCCAGCCCAAAAAGTACTTTTCGATGGCAGTACAAGTAAAATGGCTGATGAGTCACTACCCTTCAAATTTCATTCGGGCAGGATCGTTGCTATATGATGCTAAGCCAAGATATCTATAAAAGGAGCAGGAGAGGTCAGAATCAAAGACACTCAAACAAACAAATACAAGCACAAACTCTGCTCAAAAGCCAGATTTGCCTTCAAAACGAAAGCTGTAGTCAGCCCAAGCCTTCATCCATTTCGGGATAACACTTTTGTAATAGCTCTGCTACCCTGCTCAACTCTTGCTGTAGTATCGATTCCTCTTGTAAACTCATCTCCCTACCCTTTTCCTAAACTTTCAAACCTCTTGCAAGACGATCAGCCTTGCCCGACAAGGTTAAACCTTGCCCAACCTTCTTTGTTTTTGTCTGTATATTCATTACCTTAACAACATGTTGAATATTACAAGATATATCCAAGTTATTTCTAGCAATATGGTTATCAAAGGATTCTCTTAGGGCTTAGATTCGATTGAATATGTCTCCACGGTTCAAGTCAGGTCTAAGTTCTAAGCCCTCGGGCACATAAGATTTGATCATCCTAAAAGTCCTTGGCCTCAAGGCATAAAAAAGAACCTGATGTGGACTTAACCCATCCTCTACAAGCTTTGATAACAAGAAGTCCAAAGTTACTTGGGGCGCAAGTAATTTACCCGTCACTTAGTTTTATTATTGTGATATTATGATTATCATATAACGTCCGGGGACGGGATGGGTTTTAATAGGAAGCCTCATGACCTACTCAAGGCCCCACAAAGGCACCTATTTGGATTCATCTTGCTTTTCGGACAAGAACATTGAGAATGTAATGGGTTCTAATGGGAAGCCTCAAGGCCCACACCTAAGGCCCCACAAAGGCATCTATTTGGATCCATGATGCTCTTTAAGTTCAGGTAATCAGAAGTATGATGGTGATAAGATCTACCCAATACATAAAAGGAACCTTATATGTTCAAATACTAAATTAGTTATTTACGGGAAGCCTCAAGGCCTACACCTAAGGCCCCACAAAGGCACTTGTCAATAACTAAATATAGTCTTTCGAATATATAATTAACTCAGACATCCGTTCTACATCTGCCATACTGAAGATGGTAGTGGCACGCCTGAATACATATAAGTTAATCTTGATTGTGAGCCTCAAGGCCTACATCTAAGACCCCACAAAGGCACCTTTCAAAGTTAACTATGTCCTTCTCTTTCAGCCTTGCCCGACAAGCCTTGCCCGACAAGCCCGTCAATAAAGCAGGAGCCCGACAGAAAAACATCAACTGGCGCCAAACCTCTCGGGGAGCTGTGTGCTCGTCGGACAGGAGATATCCTCCACGGAGAATTCCACCACGAACACCTTTCACTTGTGATTACCACTTCTATGGTCATACTTAGTGCTGTGATAGCTTCTGTAGTTTCAGAAGCTGGCCTTTGTTCTGAACCAGCCTTTAAGGTCCCATACTATGACTTCGGCTCACCTGCTGGTACACTATCTATTATCTGTTGATTCTTCAAAATGATATATATAAAAACTTATGTGCCGAGTGAACAAAAAATGGTTCTTTATTTTAAATAATTTCTGCAATTGACTATGGCATCAGTACGTAATCTCGGAGTATTTACTTGCTCCTGGTAATGTGATTTGCCTTTACTGAATATGGTTTCTGAATTTTCCCATTATTTGGGTAGTTGATTTACATTGCATATTCCAAATGGTTAATTTCATATATGATTGTGTTACAACACTAGTTTATTCACTCTACTGGGATGAATTTTTCAGGCATACCTTTAGTATATGTAGAGGTTGATGTTCAAGTCATTGTTTAAAGCTGCGGTTTTAATAATGAGACGTATTTGTATCATTTTCAGAGCTTCCGCTATATCTATTGCTGGGTGTCCTATGTGGCTTGGTTTCATTAACCTTATCATAGTGCACATCGTACATGTTGGTATTTGTTGACAATCTTCACAAGACCGTTGGCCTACCAATATTTTTTTTTTCCCTATCGTGGGTGGCTTGGCTATTGGGCTGATGGCATTGACATATCCAGAAATTCTTTATCGGGGTTTCGAGAATGTTGACATTTTGCTGGAATCTCGACCACTTGAGAAAGGCCTCTCAGCTGATCAGTTTCTTCAGTTGGTAGTGGTCAAGATAGGTGCAACCTCATTGTGTCGAGCCTCTGGATTAGTTGGAGGCTACTATGCTCCATCACTTTTTACTGGTGCAGCAACAGGAATGGCATACGGAAAATTCATCCGTTCTGCAGTTCTCAGTCCAATCCTATACTTCATCAGTTCTGGCAATGTTGAACTAGTATGCTTGATATAATGTTTTTTTTCTTCCTATTTTTGATAATTTCTGAGAACAAAAGTCACATTTGAATGTTATTATCCAGAAATCTATAGCCATTACCTTCAGGGGCAAATACCTTTCTTTTTAGAAGTAGAATGTGTTTCCTGCAATTGTATTAGTTCTAAAGTGTCGAATGGTCTTTTGACAATTGACATGGAGTGTACATAATATCATTCTCCATGGTAGACTTGAAAAGTCCAAACTTTTCTCGGTGAATATATTATTTCTCTTTCTGGTATTTGTCTGCTAAATTCTGAAGGTATCCCAAAAGCTGGATGGAGTTGACAATCGGAGAGATTCCATTTTCAGGTTGGAATGGGTGCTAGTGTTGCAGGAGTCTGTTGCTTTTTGAATTGACACAAGATTATCGTATTGTGCTGCCGCTACTTGGAGCTGTGGGGTTATCTTCGTGGATTACATCTGGGCAGACGAGGAGAAAAGTTATCGGGAAGACTAAGAAACTCAAACAGGGAAACACTAGTAGCATTCAACAACCTGAAGTGCTTTCCCCCTACTGCAAATGGGATATCTTCAAGTGGTGCTTCAGCTGAAAGGACATCTAATGCAAGTGACCTGTGTGAAATTGAAAGTTCACTCTGTATAGATGGTTCTGATACTGAACACTCAGCAAGTCTTCCAGTCGATGCTCGATTGCTGAAAAGGGCTCAGAGTTGGTTTAGCCTGAACGACTACGAATCTAAATACAACTGATGGACACAGGAACATATACAAAGTTATTGGAAGAGAAACCGTCAAATTGGGGTTTTCCTTTTACCATTTTGCCTTGTAATATAGTTACTGGTTTTACTGCAATACCGCATAGGTTATCGTTTGTTAATGAAAAATGAAAATTCTTTTGAGTAAAGAAATGAGTTAAGCTGATTATAATCCTAATTTCTGACATCCAAACTTTTCAAAAACATCGGTCACCTACTCCCAATCATTCAGCATAACGCGGGTTTGAGTCTAGTAATAAATGCTTCCTCTATGAACGTCGTACGACATCCTAAATATCTAATCCCATCTTCTTCCCAAATGAAAGAGGAAAATTGGATTTTGGAGCACCAAAATCAGGGGCAGTGGACTACCGATTGAACTTACAATTCCTGAAATAAGCACGGTTTTAGGGTTCTGACCAAAGAATTCGGTTTTGGGATGCAACAGTATAATGACAGTTCCATGCCTTCCTATTTAACTTTTAATAGTTCAAAAACAGTGAAAGAAAAAAAAACATGTACAAGAGGCCAAATTTGGGTACTTATCCATGATAGTATAGACAAGCGTTGAATTCTTACAAATACAAGAAATCCTAAGATACATGAAATGCTACTGCTCAAATAAATTACCAACTTCACAAATCGATGGACAGTTAAGTTTGAATGACTTTGCTTGTGATCAAGTCACCCTAAATAAATTTGATCGTGATAACATTTATATCTGGTCCGCAGGCTTATTCATAGTGTCTTGTTCAACTTTCACAGTTGGTTCATCCACCGATCCAGATCCCATATCCAAAGCCTGCAAATATCAATGTCGACAGAGAAAACTATTAGTGGGAGGGTTTTCTTATGAAAGAGGAACCTGATTCTAATGGATTTATGTGTTAATTTCACCTTTGCGCCTGTTGTAATCTCATCTACTGCTGGATCATAGCCTGAGCTTCTAGCATTCTCCGAGGTCCCTTTCTGGATCTCCAATGTGCCAGAACAACCAGAATTAGATAATGTTGAGGCAAATAAACATAACAAATAGGTTATCATCCATGTTTATGTAAGTTTTAAAATGCGGCACAGCAAAGGAAATGAGCACATCGTAAGAAAGTAATGCTATGTGCAGGATATAAACATATAATCATAAACAGCAGTAGATACCATAGCTGGAAACATTATATTCTCATAAGAAAGAAAGGGAACATTACTAATCACCAATGTAGGCTTCACGTAACAATAAACAAGAAACATGATAACAGAGGGGAGCAACGAAACACTATGAAGAGACAAGCTTCCTCTTTATATATGATTTGGATGGTTTGAATAGATTCCAGTCAAATCCAGGTTTTAGTAAGTTTACGGTTGGAGCCGTCAAGAATGGTGCATATTGAATTGGTTCATTGCATCATCTAAACGAATGAAACAGTAAACTCCAGAGGGACTATTTAACTTGTGTACAAAGGAGATTTTGTTTTTCCTGTAACTTTCATCTTTTAGCCTTTCGTCAATATGTTTCTGTTTTTTGCCATGAACAAACAATATAACCACTAGTCCATTATCAAAGACAATGAGCACAGTTTTACTATACATGAAATTTAATGCAGTAGTGATTAAGAATATAGCCGACCCCACTTAGTGGGAAAAGGCTTTGTTGTTGTTGTTGTAGTGTTTAAGAATAGACAAATGAATTGGCAGCCAAATATAGTGAATTATAGTCTAAATGATTCCACACCCAAAAAAAAGTTGAGCTCAAGAGATGATTTGTGACGTACCGGATCTTTAACCTCAGGTTCAACGATCTCTTTCTTTACTCTGCTTGGTAAAGACTTACTGTATAAACCATAAATCAGTAAATTGCAAAGACGAAAGTGCTAGATAATGAGAGCAAATTAGGAGAATAAATTGAAGTACCGTTCATCATCAACCTCCATGTCAGAATCTGGATCCCACCTCTCGTCTGGGTCATCCTATTCCTCATTCTCCTGAAAGAATTTCACAAAAGAATAATATTAAAACATTGAATACAAGCCCATATAACAACGTTAAATATTGAGTACAAATAACAACTGAAATTAGATAGACTTGAACTAGCAAGCAACATTCTTTATACATGGATTAATAAAAGTCAGAATGGAGCTTTGCTGCTATTTAGATACACAACATTCCTTTTGAATCATCACTATACTCATTAAACAAGTCTATGAGACTTCCATCAAGTATTCTACCAGTTATGGAACAAGAACTATCAAATTACAGGAAGGAAGTGGAAAACAAAGGAATGTCAAAATGTAAGCTTGATAGCAAATAAATGGAAGAAAAAGACAGAAAATTGGATCTTCTGCTCAGGAACAATGTGGCTTTGGAGTAAATGTGGGCACCAGTTAGCTTATGTTATAAGAAATCTTGAGAACAAGAAGTTGTCTATTACAAGTTACTAATTTAGACTTTAGACAGAAGAAAAGGTCATGCACTTTAGCTGTATCATGTCAAATCAGAACAATGAACAGTAACTTGCTCTGATAGCTGTATCTGCCAGGCACTATAGTCGTATTATGCAATCACAAAACATTAACATGCTATCTGGCAACTGGCAAGAGATTATAACTTGCAATAAAAATCATGCTATATGTGCACAATTATATCACAAGTGAAATACTTTGGAAACATTAAAAGGTAAAACAGAATATGAGAAGTATACCTCGTAGCACCAACAACGAGCAACATTGCGAATAGTATAGCCACCGCCACCTAGAAGCAAGAGCGGGACATTGAAGGATCTCATATATCTAACACACTCAGCGTGGCCTTTGATGGAAAGATTGAAGCAGCCAAGCCTGTCCCCAGATAAGGAATCAGCACCACACTGGAGAACCACAGACCCAGGCTTAAAATTTTCCACACTGTACAAAACGCGCTGTTCAGGCAAAACATTAACAATTTCAGTAACCCATTTCAGAGATTACATAATACAAACCCAACATCAAAAAGTTCAGACCTTAACTATGCAATTAACATTTTTGAGAACCCAATTCAGAGATCATACAAAACATAACAAACCCAACAATCCAAACATCAAAAAGTTCAAAACTTTAACACTATGCAATCAAATTTACCAACCTCATGCTACTTAAGAAGTTCCAAAATTGCAAGAATAATGTCATTCACATAGCAAAATCCAGAAGCCTCACAATTCTTAGCATGGTGCAAACCGCCAGCCCAATTAATCGAAATATCACAAATCCCATGGTTGAGCTTCACAGCGCCGCCGACCAACCCACCAGCATAGGTCTGGCAAAACGAGTACAACCCATCAAAGACAGGGCAGTCCTCGCCGACATTGAACCGCTTGAGCTGCCGCAGCTGGTCCTGCTGCGTTTCGGCGTGAAAGCGGTAGAGGTCGCGGTCTCGGGCCGGGTAGGGTTTGAGGACCTGCATGTTCTGGAGGAGGCCATAGTGCGCGAGGAGGGCGTTGGTCATCCGAATCCGGTGGGGCTTCATCGGGTGTCCCTGCCCATAATAGTAATTTCCCACTTCTGGGTCGTAGAAATAGCTCACCTTCCTCTTCACTCCGTCGGGACCCGACACTAGAGAGTTGCCGCCGGTGTCCATCGTGGGCGGAAACCAGATTTTTCAGACAAAAATTGGAACTTTTTATATATTTTCAGATTGGTTTGTTGGGTTTGGGGTTATTGGGGGGTCCGTTTTAAACCGGCGGGTAGGGCATCAAATCAATGTAAGGAAAATGCCTTATTTTTGGTTTATTTATATGTGATTTAATTTAACGGAAAATTAACAAAAAATTAAAAAAAAAAGTTTTAATTAAAAATAACAAATAAAGGTGTAATGAAAGGTAAAAATATGATTTTTCGTTAAAAATGAACAGTATCGGGAGTATTTCGTTAAAACTCCCTTAATTTAATGGAGAAAGGAAGTGTCTTGGATTTAATTTGAAATGGAAGAAGTGAGAAAGAGTTCGTTAGAAGAAAGAACAAGAAGACGGTGGCTTGGCTTTTGTTTGTTGTTTTATTTGTTCCCTCTTTGATGTTATTACACCAATCCATAGGTGGAGAAAAAATGTATGGATTCGAGATTAAGCGGGTTGGAATAGATGCCGTATTCATCAAGACAATTTTCCACTTCCTTATTTTGTGAGTGATTTGCATATAAATGTTTATGTTATTTCTTTTGGATATATATAGTGATTGCATCAAAATCAAAACCAAATGGGAATAGGAAGTTGTACTGACATTAGGCGCAATTTAATAGAAATTTTTTATTTCCTACAAAAAGGGGATTTAATTGAAATTATTGATTATATATATATATATTTTTTTTTTTTAAAAAAATTTTTTTTTGCGTCTCATGCTACTTGGGAAGTCACGAATCGAGAAAGTTAAAAATAAATGTAAATTGAATCAACTGGTTCTTTTAGTTAATCTCATCCTAATTTTTAGGTATTTAATTACAAGTCTTGAGGTGAAATTCATACCTTTTTTTTAAATCCGTTTGTGATAGTAAACACATAGAACTTAGAAATTGGAACGCAGGAACATCAAGATTTGTAATGATTTCAATTCACATTTCTTACAATATGTCCAGTGGCTTTGTCTTCCCAATATTAGAAGAGATTTCAAGTTTGAATTTCCCGCCTTATTTGATTAGAAAATGACAAGAAGAAAGAGTAATCAACTGGTATTTGTATTAGTTTTTTTTTTTTTAACACTGTGTTTCTTTTCAAGAACTTTAATGTTGTATCTACATATGGTATAATGGCAACAACTATAATTCATGAAATTTGAACTTACCATATTGCCTAACAAAACTCATAATATGAACTGTGAGACAAAATCAAAATGATCATCAAAGGTAAAGGATTCAGAAAACCAAATAAATGAATTCAACTTCATTGACTACTCAACTTAAAAAAGGTGTCACTAGAAACAACTAGCATTTAGTGTAATAGTATTTCTATATTTAAAAGAGATTTTGAGTTCAAATTTCGTCAATCAAGTTCAAATTTCATTTTCATTTTTAATCTAAAAAGAAAGTGCCCCTAGAAACATGGGCCTTAGAGCAACGAGGCTTCGATATGCCTTATTTGGGTGGATGAGTTTGGTCTGACTGACAATGTGAGGTCAGGCCCACAGAATGATTTTTGGAGTTAAAGTGGACCTAGTTACAATTTAGAGATTTGCTGTTGTGGAAGAGGACTTACATAGAAGGTATACAATTACCACCACGTGTCGTGCGAATAACACAAGTGTAAGTTTTTCTCAATCTAATGTTTGTGATTAGGACAGGCGTCACATTGGCGGTGTATGGCATCGAACTTCATCACTTTAGCATGACTTGCCTACTTCTAACCATAGCTCAAGCTAAAAATCATTTCCCTCATGGCATAGGATGCCTTACCTAAACATTTCTTAGTGAGAAATCCCAATGCACATAGCATGTATGTTTACAATGTCTACTTTTATACGTTCCTTATAAAACCTAGTGGCCTGGAATGCAATTGGACTAAAACACTACTAATTTGAACATAGATGGATCGAAAACTCGATTCGAAAGGCAAAGTTTGCGTTACGGGGGCTTTTGGATTTATGGCATCCTGGCTTATAAAGCGGCTTCTCTTGTCCGACTATCATGTAACGGGGACTGTAAGAGATCCAGGTAGGCACCGTAACCCCCAAGTCAATCTGCTTGAAGTAGCATCGGATTCGTTTTTTCGACACAAAACTTATGCGGTTTTCTCCATGAGTTCAAAGGAAACGAGAAGAAATTGGCACATTTGTGGAGGCTAGAAGGAGCTAAGGAAAGACTAAGATTGGTGACGGCAGATTTGATGGAAGAAGGCAGCTTTGATGATGCAATTTTTGGGTGCCATGGCGTTTTCCACTCTGCTACCCTTGTTTTAAAACCTTCGTCTGATCCCAAGGCACGTTGCATGTTTAACTTTTTCTCGTCAAATATATAACATGTTGTGTTGTCACACCATCAATACAGATCATACATTTAAACAAAGTTTCGGCATACATACACAGACAGAAATCCTGGAACCGCCTGTTGAGGGCACATTGAACGTGTTGCGTTCGTGTAAGAAAAATCCGTCTCTAAGGAGCGTGGTTCTCACCTCATATTCTGCAGCTGTAAGGGTGAGACCAGATGGGGATTTCACCTCCAATGTACCTCTGGGTGACTCTTCAGGTCTAGTTAACAATACTCTCCCTCTGTCCTTGTTAAGGATTTTGCCTTGGTACAGATTGTTTGCTAACTGCAGTGTGTAGTCTAACCAATACAGATTTGTTCGGCGAATTCAGCATAACTTTGAATGCATCCCTTCTCATATATACTAATACGTAGCTGCAAAGCAAAGTAATGCCGAATTTTATTGATCTGTGCTATTACATTTCTTAAGCTCAATGTTTTCTTTTTCCATGTGCATTATATATAATCCGTCCAAACCGTTTAACTGACAAATTATGCATCTGCACCTATTTCACTAGATTTGGTACCCTATGTCGAAAATTTTAGCTGAGAAAGCAGGATGGGATTTCTGCAAAGAAAATGCGATTGATATGGTTACTGTCCTACCCTCCTTCGTGATCGGGCCTTGTTTGCCACCTGAGTTGTGTTCTACAGCATCAGATGTTCTTGGCCTGCTTAAAGGTACTACTACTACTACAGATTTATCTTCGTGATTTTTCGCGCTTGTTCTTCGTTTACTTAACTTTGATTATAAGCACATTACACGGTTATTTGTTTGAACAATCAAGCAGGGGAAACAGAGAAATTTAAGTGGAATGGAAGGATGGGATATGTTCACATTGATGATGTTGCACTCTGTCACATCTTAGTTTATGAGCATGAAAGTGCTCATGGCAGATGTATTTGTAGCTCAACAGTTATGGACAACACTGAGTTAGGTTCCTTATTATCTACAAGATATCCTTCCTTGCCTATCCCCACAAGGTTTGATATTTTTACCAGCTACAATTAATTAAGCATAATTTATCGGTTCATACTATGGGCCGATCCATTTTTTATGCTCCTAATTCCCCCCCCCCAAAAAAAAAAAAAAAGAGCGTCACATGCTATAAGCATCAGTTATATCAATTACTTTTAATCGAATTTTACATGAGAATTTTTAGGTTTGAGCAACTAGGGAGGCCACGTTATTATGAGTTGAACACCTCAAAGCTGGGGAGAGGGTTCAAGTTTAAGAGTATCCAAGAGATGTTTGATGATTGCATTGCCTCTTTGGTGGAGCAAGGCCATCTTCCTGCATTATAGTTAATTTATGCTTTGTGATTCTTTTTTTTTTTTTTTTTAATTTTTTGGTTAAGATAAAGCTTCATAGAAACCAGAAAGGCACAGAGGCCTAACAAACACACAGAGGACAGTCCTGCAAGACCATAAAAAACAGAAACAAAGAACAAGACCCCAAAGACACCGTCCAAAGGGCTCAAACGTACAACCAGCCAAGCAAAAACCCTCCACCCTTATGAATGAGGACATGGTAGCCCGTCTTTGTGATCCTTTTGCCATATTGGCAAAGGCTGAAATAAAGTGATTAAGAACTTAACTATGAAATGTACCACCTAATCAACGGTTTGGATTCACACTATAACTACGTAGAATGTTTGGGCAAAAAATGCTTTCTGTTATTTATTTATTTATTTTTTTTTTTTGCAATACAAGCGATACTAAAAAAAAGAGGGATTTAAACTCAAAACCTCCGTGCGGTACTAAGGAATACCACTCTGTCTGGTGTGTACAGAGATTTGTTAATGTAGTGTCCTTTTTAACCCTCAAAATAGTGCAAGCTAGGGAAAAGGCCACCAAAGGCCCAATAAAAGTTAAAGCCCAAAGAAGAATAAGAAGCCCAAGGCTCAACAAAATTAAAGAGGGGGGACCACTCACCAGCGTAGTCCAACTGACCAACATAAAGTACTTTCCGACCCCCAAGACACGTGGGAATACCGACAACTTTATGGTACAAATCTTTAGGAGCAGACCTACTCAGGGCACATGTCAGAAGTCTACGACGAGACGTAAAGACGGTTGGGCTATTGCTTGGAGTGACATGGTTGACTAATCAAGACCGAGTAGGTTGCTGGACACACATTGATCTTCAAGGGCGTGCAATTCCGAATGAGCAAGTGTCTTTTCACCGCTGAATATCGACTGATGGTTAAAAAGGTTGTTAGCACGCTAGTTGATGTAGGTGTCACATTAAATGTTAGAAAAATAAAACTAGGTGAGCCCAAGGTTTTCTGAGTTAATGGATGGCCTATATAAAGAGGTCGGAACCTCTGGTAAGGGGGTCAGACAACTTAAGGGAGATAGAATTCTAGTATTTAGCCGAACGCTATTTGTAAACTTTGAAATCAATAAAATCTAAGCAACACAGCAGGTGTAGTCTTGTTTTGGGGTGAACCACTTAAATTCTGAGTCCATTTCATTTTAGTTTCAATTCCAAGCCTACCAAGGGCTAATTATTCTACTTTTTGAGCTTTAACAAAGTGTCAAATGGACATCTCGGTTTCAAGTTGGAGTATGCGTGTTTGAGTCGTACTTGAGTTGGCCCACTTAGAAAACAGGTTGGGTTGACCTGTTGGGCATAATCTCGACCTAGCGCTTGTTATAAGCTAGGGCCGCTTTAAAACGGATTGGGATGGTGATGCCTTAATTTAACAAGTTGACGTCAACCTATTCGTTTGACACCTTTAATGTGTATGTTCTTACACCACAATTCTGAGCATGATTGAATGCATTAAGGCCTCGTTTGGCAGCTCGGATTGTACTGGCTATTTCTGTCGGATAGGATAAATAGTCACCGGATAGTGCTGATTAAATTAGTTGGGTGTTTGGTGCAGTATCGGATTAATGACCGTATTATTTATACTGTGTTTGGTATTACACTGGATAGGAGAATCAAACTTAAAATAAAATTTAAAAAAAAAACTGAAATCTCTCTTTTGTTCCCCGGATCTCTCCGCCGCACCCCCCAAATCCCTCCCTCCCTCTCCCTTGTTCTTCTTCGTCTGCTCCCTTAAACCAAACTCCACCACAAAGGCAACAACAAGAAACCTAGCAAAACCCACCTTCCAAATTCTCATCATTTTTTTCCCAATCCTTCTCTCTTTTTTTTTAGCTTCAAATCAGCCCAACTAAATAGAATGGTTATGAAGGATATGACCCAAAGGAGGCAGATGGGTTCTTTAGCACTTGAAAATTTATAAAATCAATTGCAAAATTAGAGAGAAAAAACAACAATCAGATTCAATCTGATTGAAAAAAAAAAAGTTGGAAGAAAAATAGGAGGGCAGAACAGAGAGAGAAGAAGAAAAATTGCAAGAAAAATAGGAGGAGGGAGGAACAGAGAGGAGGAAGAAGAACCTCATATTCAGAAGAGGAGGAAGAACCTTGGATTCAAAGGAGAGAGCAAGCGATGTGAGAGGAGTAGAGCGAGCGACGGGCGAGCGACGGGAGGAACAGAGAGGGCGAGACTACCCGACTAATAAGACAGAGCTTTTTGGTTGGATAACTTAGCAGGTATGTACCGTATAAAAGGTGTGGGGTCAGTATAATTAGTACGAATATTATTTAGTACAAAACAGCACCAAACACCTGGAACCGTTTTAGTTATCCTATCCGGTCTGTTATACGGGCTACCAAACAAGGCCTAAGATTCAACAATATAACATGCTTGAATGTTTGACATGAGAAATCAGTCTCTATCTACATATTGACTAATCATGAACTCGCAATTAACTAATAAGAGGCAAATATTGCAAAATTGGATTTGTTTCAGTTTTCTTTCTTGCTGAAAACTTGGTTTAAATGAATCATTTAGAGTATATTTGAGACGACCACTGTGAAAAAACACTTCAGTTATAAAGTGTGCATATGGATAAGCACTTGAAAGTGATTCTTCAAATATGTTTTTCTGACCAAAACACACTACGAAAACCTTTATTTTTCCTTCCGATATTTCATTCGTAATGGACATTTACATGTAAACTCAATTACTACTGAGAGCGAGAGGGAGGGGAAATATTTCCTTGAGATTCTTTGTTGCAGGAGTTGGAATGGACCCTCCCATCCCAACCCTAGCGGGTGGATGAGGCCCCTTGCAGCCACCACAAAAACCATGGTAGCTCTCCCGACCGACATTGCGACACGTGTCCACGTGATCCTTGGGTGCTCATACGGCTGCAAATGCTGCCACGTGTCTCGTCGCTTCCCCACGTGACATGGACCTTCCATTCCAGGCACACTACACTACATGAAGTTTTGCTGTTGTTGTTCCATCTTCGCGACGAAGCAGATTTGATGGACAACTTGTGGAAAGTTGGCTTAAAAAAACATCAAACGTGGTCGGCTCGATGATAATTTGACGTATCTATCACGTGATGTTATTAATATATTTATTATAATATATAAATAGTAAATTTACACTTTTATAAACAAACACATATTTTATAGCATGATTAAATTTGTAATGCAACGTAAAAGTAGTTGTGGTCACATTAAAAATAGGGTAAATTACATTTTCATACATCAAGTTTGGGCTCTATTTCAATTTTTTACAACATCTTTAAAACATTTCACTTTCATACCCTAAGTATTAATTTATTTCAAAATAATACATTTGTTTTTTCCATACATGGATCCGTTAAGTGTTGACGTTATTTTAAAAAAACCTGAATTTTCTCAAAAAAAAAAAAAAAAAAAAAAAAACAAACAAATTGCAACCCAGTTTGCGGTTCGTTCCCCCCCCCCCCACCAATTCAACTCAGTTCGTCCCCCACCCCCCAGCTCCCCACCTGCAAGAAGAAGAGGAAGAGGAAGAAAGAAAAGAACAAAAAAAAAAAAAAAAAAAAAAAACAAGCTGCAACCCAGTTTGCAGTTCGTTCCCCCCCTCCCCCCCACCACCACCACAGTTCCCCACCTGTAAGAAGAAGAAGAAGAAGAAGAAGAGGAAGAGGGAGAAGAAAAAACAAAAAAAAACCCAAACCCATTTCCCCACCTGCAAGAAGAAGAAGAAGAAGAGAAAGAAAAAATAAAAAACACCCCCACCAGTTCCCCACCTGCAACAACAAGAAGTAGAGGAAGGAAAAAAAAAAACCTGCAACTCAGTTCGTCCCCCACCCCACGCCCGCGACCCAGCTACCAACCTCCCCTCAGGCCATCTCTTACCGAATGGTCTAGAGGGCCAGAGGGCACGGGAATCTGGGAGGGCCCCACGAAATTTCAAACGGCCAAAGGGCCAAAGGGCTGGCTGCTTTTGGCCAGCCAGCCAGCCCCGGGCTGGCTATTTTTTTTTTATAGTTTTCCTATTGCTGTCGGTTATAACCGACAACATTAAATAAGATTTTTTAATACTGTCGGTTATAACCGACAGTAATAGGTATTCATAGGCACATTTTTTTTATTTACTATTAGTGTCGGTTATAACCAACACTAATAGTTTGAATTTTTTTTTTAATATAACGGCTAGCTGAGTTAGCTAGCCATTGGGTTTTTTTTTTTTTTTTTTTTTTTTTTTAATTTAAACATTTCTTTTCTTCTATAACTTCCTATAACTTCTATTTTACAAAATTGGTTTCAAATTTTTTTAAATTCTATTTTTTTCCTATAACTTATATTTTACAAAATTTGGTTCATATTTTTTTAATAAATTATATTTTTCAAATTCTATTTTTTCCTATAACTTCTATTTTAATAATTTTTTTTAAATTCTATTTTTTTCCTATAACTTGAATTTAAATTGTAGTTTTAAATAATAAATTATGTTTGGCCATTTGGCCCTCGATTGGAGACGGTTTTTTGTGACAGGGCTATAACGAGCCCTCTGGCCCTCTGGCCCTCGGTTGGAGACGGAGGCAAATATGGCCATGTACTGTTCATTAAAATATTAATATCTTGGAGAATCTTGGAGGACCAGAGGGCTAAAACGAGCCATCTGGCCAGCCATCGGTTGGAGATGGCCTCACCACCCCCCAACCCCCGCGACCCACCTCCCTTGCACAGAGACCTCGAATCACACCTAATCTCGGGTGGTTTTGTGGTAGATTCATCTTGGGGATTTTGAGTTTGAGATGATTTTTGGATTGGTTTTGTGGTAGATCCACCTAATCTCGGGTGGGATTTTGAGGGTGGGTGATGGGGGATGGGAGAGAGGGGTGGCTCGGGTGGGATTCGGGTGGGGGGGGGGAACGAACTGCAAACTGGGTTGCAGTTTGTTTGTTTGTTTTTTTTTTTGGATAATGGTTTTTTTTTATATA